GCACAAGTATTCTTTTTTAATCCCTTTAATATTATCCACAATGTGTCATACTTAGATTAATGAATTAAAAATTTAATACTGAATCTAATATTATAACGAAAGTTACTGATAAAACAAATTGTGTGCGAGCACATCGAAGCCATTCTTTAATTGACGAAAATATGTTCATATCATTAAAGAATCTCACCTGATTTTTCCATTTGAATCGATGTAGGAACTTTTGTAGAATCCGATCATATCATCCCTGAGCTTTCCCGTGTATACTAAAACGATTTTAATGTTCGTTCCCACCTTAAGAAGTTCGCCGAGTTTGATGGCATACTTCTCAGTTACGTTATTGTAATCGGTACTTTCAATCTTCACTGGATTCACGTTTTTGATATCACTGACAATTGTGTTATTTATGGTGAGTTGTCCAGAATGGAGTGTAATAGTGTCAGTCGCGATGTTTACGCGTGCTTCTATCTGGACGGTTCCCTTGAACTCGAAGTTGCCTTCCAATTTTGGTCGTAGTAAAATCTCATATCTATTAGGAATAATCGTTTTTGGCAGCCGGTAATCACTGAGCAAGGGTTCGTCTTGTATGTAAGAATCTGAAGATAATTAAAGAATATTAATTGTTGTTAAGCAGAGTGATGCTTCGCGGTATACGCGGGACAAAAGCACACGCATCTCATTCATTGGGACACGTAGTATCGTTTATTGATTACACTCGTTAAGGTAATAGTCCAGTAGTTAAAAGTTTGTACTCTGTATTGTACGCTTGCTCTCGTTGCTGCCGTTTCGGACACGGTCGGTAAGAAATTTTTCAGCGTGACTGTACGCACACATTTACCATGAGTTATGTACGTATACACCAAACTAATGATTAATCCCCACAGAGCGGGCCATGCGACGCGATGCGCTGCGTTTCCGAATTTTTCGGTCCTTCGCCCGAGTCGACCACTACCGTATGTTGCGTTTGAAGGTCCTAATTATGGTCCTTACGGGGTATTCGGCATGAAGTATTTTCGCAATTTGGTCGCCCTCACCATCATTTTCATTACATTTATAATTGATATACAATTTTTATTGTAATTAATATGTATAATTAAAAAATTCATTTCTTTCAAAGCTATTTTTTAACAATTTACACTTTTAAAATCCACTTTCTTCTTATTGTACGCTATAGTACAACTCTTCACGAACAAAATGCACCCGTTTACATAGTGCGGAACGTGTACATAAACATTTTCATACTTTATATTGAACATATGAATTCGCCTAAATGCAACTGCTGATCCTGTTTGTTGTCTTAATAATATACATTAATAAGCAATATACATAGAATACAATAGATAGAATGAAGTATCTTGGAGTAGTATTCCAGAGTAATGAAAAGATGGAGATGAATGTGAAAGAGAGAGAGTAAAGAAAGAAGGAGCGGTAATGAAGAGTGTATGAGGTATAGGGAAAAGAACCTTCAAAGACAATTATGCAAGGAAGATTTGGTGGTTTGATACGATAGTATAGTCGGTGTTGGGTTTTGGTGCGGAAATGTGGGGGTGGAAAGAATGGAAGTCTGTAGAAGCAGTACAAGAAGGATATATGAGATGGGTAGGGGTTGATTGGGTAACACCAGGGTACATGGTAAGAGAGGAAGGAGAGAGAGAGAGAGAGAGAGAGAGAGAGAGAGAGAGAGACTGTGGTTGAGAGGAACGAAGAGAGCATGGAACTATGAAGAGAAACTGAGAAAGGAAAGAGGAACTACGTGGACGAGAGCGTTTTTGGAAGAAATAGAAAAAGGAGAGAGAAGATGTAAGGGAGGGTCGAGATGGGAGAAGAAAAAATAAGATTTATGATTGAGAGAGGGGTGAGCCTAAAAGAGATAGAAAGAGCTGAAGAGGAGGAGAGGGAACATCTATGGGAAAAAATGGAGAAAGAGGAGGGAAGATCGTATAAGGAGGAGAAATGGAAGAAAATAGTGGAATCGAATTACAATAGGTGGTATAAATTGATAAAGAGGGAAGGGATGTCAGAATATTTGAGAGAAGGAGAAAAATTGGGTAACAATAGCGAGGTTTAGGATGAATAACTGATACCTCTTGCGATCAACCGCTTAGGACAGGCATGGCCAACTCATTTCTCCCTACTCCAATAGCTTTCCCCACTTCGTGCCATAGTCACAGTAACACAGCAGACCATAATGCGCTCACACTACTTAATTCATCCTCACTTAAGCTCCCGCTGAAGGTCGTGTCGCTTACGCGACACCTTTGGCCATGCCTGGCTTAGGACTTTATACATAGTAGAAGAGATACAGTAAACTCGTAAAATTCCCCCATCATAAAATTCGTTACAAAAGTTAGTAACTGATACTTGTTGCGGTCAACCGTTTGACTTGGACTATTTTTAAAGTTAGTACAAAAAATATAGTGAGGTCGTAAAATTCGTCTATCATGAAACGCGTCATGGAAAGTAGTGACTGATAGCTGTTTCGGTCATCCGCTTAGGACCATCTTCACCAAACATAAAAATAACGATTTTTCTAAAAATGAACAATTTTCGCAATAAATTAACTATTACATGATTTCCTCAGAAATGTCTGTACAATCCAATCTCTGTAGTAAAATGTGTAACAAATTTTTGCTAGGTAAAGGGGCTTTCATATAAACACAGAAATAGTACGTATAAAATACTTGTGTCAGTTCTTTTACAAACTGTAATAATTATTTATGACTATTAAAATGAACAATAATAAAAAGTAATTTACGTGGCTATATTGTGGAACTCACTGTCCCGAAAATCATACATTTGTAGAAATATCGCTATTTTTTGCAAGCGGTATGTGATAGAATATTACTGCTTCCGGAATCGTTTTTGGTATAAGAAACTCTACATACATATATGAAGCATGCATTAAATATTGCAGTAAAAAGTTGCACAGTGTCATTCAAACGAATTTGCCTCCCAATCAGTTTGTATAATCGACGTTCTAGTGTAAATTGTTCACACGGAATAATCAGGAATAAAAATATTCGTTAAAGATTTAGTTACCTCCATCTTCGTTTAGGTGGCTTGCCGTTTGGTACCCGGCAAACAGCAGCAGGAAGATGATGGTTGAAAATTGTTCACGTAGCAAAGTCATAATGTTTCTTCTTGTTTAGTAACCTGTATAAAACAGTGTATTTATTATTATTATTATTAACAATCAAGAGCAACCAAAAAATTCAAACGTACGAAACGATTCTTTTATATAATAGTTATTATAAATTTAGGTTATCTAAAATCGACACTGATGAGTAACATAACTGTGTATTAAACGTACATATAATTTTTACTTAAATAAGAAACAAATGTATCGTGTTGACAATATTTTCACTTAACGTTTTAGC